CTCTGCGGCGGGCGCGTCGACGGCCTGCTGCAGCGGTGCGTCGTCGCCGTCGCCTCCCGGACCCTCGCCCGGGCCGCGGCCTGCTGGCACCATCTGCGCCAGCGAGGCGGCGTAGGCGGACTTCCGGCGGAACTCCTTGGGCAACTCCACGGGAGGCAGCTCCGCGAGGTGCAGCTCCTCGGGCAGCTTCACGCCGGGCTCGGCCCAGGGATCCTCCTCGGCGCCCTGGCCGCGCAGCGCCCCGGCCGAGGCCTCCACGGTGGCCGCGTGGGCCCCGCCCAGCTCGTCGCTGGCCTCCACCTGCGGCGCGCCTGGCAACTGCACGGCGGCGGGCCCGTCGCCATTCTTCGGCTTCTGCGCTTGCCGGGGTGGCTTCCTCTGCCGCAGCTCGATCGACACGGGCGCCGGGCAGGCGGGTGGCTTCGCTGCGCCGTCCGCGCCGGCGGCCTGCTGGGCTCGTGCGAGGCCAGGTCGGACGTGCTGCTCGGGGAGCAGCCGCGGGGCCTTCGTCTTGGCAGCGGAGGCCGCCGCTGCTGCCGCCGCGGGTGCGCTCCCTTGGGGAGCCCTCCGCGGCACCAGCGCCCCCGCCTTCTCGGGCGTTGCCGGAAGTGCCCCTGGCCCAAGGTGCCCCCAGGAGTTCCGAGGAGGACCCCACGGCCTCCAGAGCACCCCTCCCCAGACCCCCGACGTAATGGTTTTTTCATTACGTCGACCCCCAGAGGTCCCGACCCGTTCCCCATGACCGGCTCTGCATCCTGAGTCGTTTTTTGACGCTCCCGAGGCCCGGCGAGGGCCCCCGGAGGCCGAAAAAGAGGAAAAACCTCCCGTCGTGATTTTTTCATTGCTCGAGGGGGTCTGGGCCGCGAGGCCCAGGGGGCCCGAGGCCCTCCAAGATGGAGCGGACGGCTGGGGGCACCTTGGGCCAGGGGCACCTCTAGCACCCCCCCCCCCCGGGCCTTCAGCGGAACGAGCGCCCCCGCCTTCGGCTTCATGGCCTCCTTCGCCGTCCGGGGCCCCCCGCCGCCCGCCGCCCTGGGCCCCACCGTGCGCGGCGGGGGCGCGCCCGCGGGCCGCTTGGGGGCCGCGGCGCTGATGGCCTCGGCGAGGGGCGGCGGGCCGGCTGGGATGCGCGCCTCCGCGGGCGCCTGCTTGGACGGCGCAGCTTCGCATGCCCTCGCCCTCCACCTTCCGCACCTTCCGCGCGGCAGGTTCCACGCCGCGGCGGCCGCCGCCGCGGCCGCCATTGCGGCTTTCGCCGAGGCCGCAGCAGCGGTTTCGGCGGCGGCGGCGTCCGCCGCGGCGCGGCACCTGCCGCGCGGAAGGTGCGGAAGGTGGAGGGCGAGGGTGGGGGGAGCGGGTGCTGGGAAAGGGGGTCCCTCAGGCAAACCCACGTCGACGTGCGACGTCCTGATTTCTTCAGGGCGGCGTCCCTGAAAGTCCCGACCCTTTCCCCGGGACCGGTCCTTCATCCTGAGTCGTTTTTTGACGGTCCCGAGGCCCGGCGAGGACCTCCCGGGGCCGAAAACAGCCAAAAACCTTCAGTCATGTAGCCGAAAAGCAAATAGCCAAACAGCCGATAGCCCAAAATAGCCAATAGCCGCAATGTACCTTCAATAGTCAAAACCTTCAGCCAAATAGCCAAAAGCCGAAAATAGCCAAAATAGCCAACATTTTTTTTTTTTGCGACGCGAGCATGTCTGGGAACGGGCCCCTGGGGGAAGCGGGCCCGGGAAGGAAAAGGGCGCTGAGCCCAAAGAGCGTGCTTCCGTTCGCACCGAAGCCAAAGCCGCGTGGTTTTGCACGGGTTCCGTCCGCCCGGCAGCGCAGACCATGTGTGTGTACTGACCGGGGCTCCTTTCGCCCGCCTGCCAAGGCCATTTGGTTGTACATTGGGTTCCTTTCGCCCTTGAGCTCAAACCATGTAGTTCTACCTTGGGAAGCGGGTGCTGAGGGAAACGGGTGCTGAGGGAAACGGGTGCTGAGAGGGAAAGGGGTCCTGGACCCTGGGGCCTCCTCTGCAGGACGACTTGCTCATGATGAGTTGTCCTCTGACAGTCCCGGGGCCCGTGGGGGGCTCCGGGGAGCCAGAAACGGCGAAGAACCTCGTGACCCGTCGACGTCGATCGTCGACGTCGATCGTCGTTGTCGTCGTCGTCGTCGTCGTCGTCGTCGTCGTCGTCGTCGTCGTCGTCGTCGTCGTCGTCGTCGCCATGGCGAGCAAGCAACGCGCCAGGCCGGCTCGACGCGGGCCGCGGCGCGTGCCGGCGCGCGCGTGCTGGCGCGCATCTCGGGCTGCTCCGTGGCGCCCCTCAGATCTAACGGTGCACTCGCCATCGCTCGGACGTCCATTCCCTGTGCTTTCTTCGGTTTCGTGCGCGGTTTTTTCGCCAAATGATCAAGGATGCTCCTCGATGGCCCTCGCCGAGAAAAAAAGCACACGTCCGAGCGATGCCAGGTGCAGGAAACGTGCAACCTCGCGGGGAATCGCCACCCCAGAGCCCCTCGCGTCGTGAAAAAATCACCGAGGAAGGTTTTCTTACGATTTTCGGACTCTGGGGGGCCCTTACTGCGCCTCGGGGCCGTCCAAAAACGACTCGGGATGAGAAGCCGGTTCTGGGGAAAGGTCCAGACCTCCCGACGTCGGGGGTCTGGGACCAGAGCCCTGCACCCCATCTCCCTGCGTCATTTTTCGTTCGAGCCGGATATCGACCTGTGGGTCCCAAGCAAGCCCGAAACTGGGCGGCAACGCCCGTTGTGCAACGATTGCACAGGCACGGTGCCGTTTTCGAGCCAGATCGACCTGTGGGGATCCCAAGCTGTAGACCGAAGCTGGGCGGAACCCCCCGCTGTGCAACGGGTGCAGCGCCAGGATCTCAGGCACGGTTGGCGACGACGACGACGACGACGACGACGACGACGGCGGCGGCGACGACGACGACGACGACGACGACGACGACGTCGGCGGCGGCGGCGGCGGCGGCGACGACGACGACGACGACGACGACGACGTCCAGCCTGCGCGGCCGCGGGCCGCTCCATGCGCGGCGGCGCCGCGGGGAGGCGCGGCCGCACGGGGCGCGCAGGGGCCCCCCCGGCGGGCGCCGCCGCGGGGCCCCCGCGCGGGAGCTCGCCGGCGGGCGCCTCCATGTGCGGCGGGGCCGCCGCGGGGGCGCCGGCGCCCGCGCCCGCGGGGGGCCCGACGAGCGTCGGCGGGCGCGGGGGCCGCTGCAGGGTCGGGCGCAGCAGCGGCGGGGCCGCTGCCGCGGGGGGCCCGGGGGCGCCCCTCGGCGGCTGCACCCGGGAGTCCCGGAGAGGTCCTGGCGCTGCCTTTTGCTGTGCGAGCCGGGGGCCGTCGCTTCCTTGTTGGGGCCCTGTGGGGCCCTCTCGCAGATCGACCTGGCGCGCCAAAGGGCGCAGGAAGGTGAGGTCCGGGGCTCCGGTCGTGATCACTGCGATGCTGCAAGTTTCTGCAGCGTCGGATCTGGTGCGCGGCTTTGGGGGGGTGGCGAGGGGGCCAAATCCAAGCGCGCAGGCCGCCGCTATAGCATCGCGCTCCACGATATCGCGGGGCCCGCACCAGAGGCCACTCCAGCGGAAGCTCCCTCTGCCTCAGATCGGGCGTTGCAGAACAAGCTGCAGCACCGCCAAGCAAGCACCACCGGAGCCCCAGACCCCATCTTCCGGCGCCAGTCTTCACACGGGATATTCTTTCTTCGATCTACATCTGTATATATGTGTATATATTTATACACGCATATATTTATATATATACATATATAAATGTATGTATATATATACATATATATACACATATGTACACGTGTATATATATATACATACATATACACATGTATATACATATAAAGATAAGCAAAGGATGACAAGCAAACGAACCGAAGCAAGAAAACAACAGGTGCAACGCCAGGCTCCCCGCATCTCATCTCGCGTGCAGCCGTGGCCTCGGCGCGGCGGGCGGCAGGCCCGCGGCGGCCTCCGCCCGCAGGGCGGCGGCCGCGCCGCCGCCGGGCGGGGCCCGCCGCGGCTCCGCCGCGGAGGCCGCCGAGGCCACGGCGCCCGGCCGCGCGCGCCGCGGCCGCGGGCGCCGCCGGGCCGGGCCCGCGGAGGCCGCGGGCGGGCGCCGCGGGCGCCGCCGAGCCCGCGGCGCCCGCCGGCGCGGCGCCGAGGCGCGGCGCCGCCGGGAGCGGGGAGGCCGCGGGCGGGCGCCGCGGGCGCCGCCGGGGGCGGGGAGCCCGCCGGGGGAGGCCCGCCGGGGGCGGCGTCCAGCGGGCCTGCGGGCCCAGGCCCCCGATCGGGCCACGGGGAGGCAGAAGAGCGCGGCGGGAGGCGCGTCGCCGGCTTGTGGCTCCCGCGGGCCCCGGGGCCGCTGCATAGGACGACTCGGGGTGAGCAGCCGGTCCCGGGGAACGGGATGGCTCGAGGCCTCTGGGGGTCGACGCCTGGAGCCCAGGCACCGCCCGCCGACAGTCGACTTGTCGATCCGCAGCCCCAGGGGTCCCGACCCCTTCCCCCGGGGTGATCTTTCGTCCCAGATCCATTTCTGATGGCCCCCGGACCCGGCGTCGAGCCCCTGGCGGCCGAAATCCCGGAAGGGCCGCCGCGTTGAAACAGTCAGATCCTCGGATCTCGGAGTCTTGGGCAGCTCGTGACGTCGGGGGTCTGGGGGTGGGACGCTGAGCCGCTGCTGCTGCTGGCGCCGCTGTTGCTTCTCCTCTGCCTCCTTCAGCCCCTGCCCTGCGCCGTCGCCCGACTTGCGTCGGCCTCGTCTTGGGTCGGCCCTGGTGCGCAGGAGCGCTTCCAACGGGTCCCCCAAAAATGTTCCGAGGCGATCCAGCCTATTTCTGGGGGCCTCCCAAAGCCCTCCAAGACGGCTCAGTACTGTTTCCGAGACGAGCCAAAGCATGTCTCTAATGGCGAAATCCTTGAACCACATGACTTCGAAGTGCCGTTTTATCAAAAGCTCCAGTGTCTCTTCGACGTGCCCCGATGGGTCTGCAGGCAACAGTGCCCGAACATGCTTCCGATCCAAGTTAGTCGGACCAGCCCTGTGGGCTAAAGTGTTCTAGAGATATTTTTCTTTCCTCTTCCAAAGCCCTCTTCCCTTCGGGGAGTGGTACCCTCCTCCTCCCCTCCCTGAGCTTGTTTTTTGAAGGGGGGGCGCGAGGTGGCAGAGGGCCCAAGATGGCTCCAAGATGGCCTCCGATGCTCCAAGATGGCCTCCAAGTTGGTTCAAGATAGCCGACGATGGTTCAAGATAGCTGCCGATCTACCTCCAAGAGGCCCGACGGGAACGACAAGACGGTTCCCCCCTCAGGCTCCCTCAGGCTTCCTCCAAGAGTCGAAAATCGTTCAAATATCAAAGGACAATAAATGCTTTGTTCCTTCTTCTCGGCTTTTCGCTTCCGATGCGCTCTTGAGGTCCCAAGATGGCCCAAGAGAGGCTCAAGAGGGGCCCCAAATGCCGCAGACGGCCCCAAGATTGCCCAAGAGCGGCCCAAGAGCGCTCCAAAAGAGCCCCAAGCGGCGATTTTGATGGCCCCAGGGGGGGGGAAGGAATATTTTGGACCCCC